GGGTCTTTTCAGATTCTTTTTAGGATGCTTTTTTTTTTGGTACTGGGGATCGAACTTGGGACCTTGCGCTTGGGAGGCAGGCGCCAGAACCACTGAGCTAAATCCCTGGCCCTCAGGATGCTTTTTTGTCTGGGTGCAGATGACTTTCTAAATTCTCCTATGTACAAGACTGCTTTTGAATGATCACATTTCTCAAGGTATCTCACCAGTTTCTCTGGGCCTAGCTGGCCTATTACACTTGTTGTGTCTATAGTTCTTCTATCTCCTGCCACTGATCTCTTGCCCCAAGTGTCACTTTTGTAGCATCCTTCCTACTTTGTAGCTTTTATAAACAGCCTGCTGCTTTCCTGCCTGAATTCTAAGGCATGTGAAACACAGATGAGTCCTTGCTTAGTCCCTTAGGTGTCTCTCATGTAAGATTGGGCAAGTACAATATAATTTTACTGTTCCCTTGAGTTTAAACCATGGGGAAAGGGGAATTAGTTGGTCACCTGCTAAAGACTATCACTGTTCTTGCCCTGGGACAGGGTGAGACAAAAGCAAGTAAATCTCCACGGAATTTTTCTGCTGTTTTGAAGACTTGTACTTGATTGGACTTTCTCTATTTTGCTGTAAACCTTAGTTTTCCAGAGCTCCTACAGAATTGGTTCACATAGCTTCTGGCTGTTTTTATCTGTTGTGATCTTTGACTGTGTTTGTGAGGAAAGAAGAGCTTGGATCTTCTAGTCCACTAGTTTGCTGACATCTGATAGTGACTTAAAAAAACATGCTGTAGTATATATAACACAAAACTTACCATTTTAACTATTTTTAAAAAGTTTACAGTTTATTAACATTATGTCATTCACATTGTTGTGCAGCTGTCATTAGTGCCATTTTAATTACAAATACTTAGGCTACTTTTTTGGATTTTTCATTCTATTTGACCTTTCAGTTGCATTTGTTCTTAAATTTCTTCTCAGAGTTATCTCAGCTTTCCTGATGCTCTTCAATTTTCCCCTCTTTTTTTGTGCTCACTGCACATTTTTGCCCTGCTTAACTCCCAGATATCAGCATTTTCCAGGGTTTTATTCTTCATTCTTTTTCATTCTGCCTGTTTGTTCTCCTTAGGTAACTGCAACTGTTTTCACGGATTAAGTGCGCTCTCATGACTCCCACATGTATGACAACCCCAGTCTCTTATATTGATGTCAGACTCATATTTTCTTTTTTTTTTTTTCCTAGTACCGGGGATCAAACTCAGGACCTTGAGCTTGCCAGGCAGGCGCAGTGCCACTGAGCTCCATCCCCGGCAAACTCATATTTTTGACTGCCATCTAGTTATCTATAAAATGATGTCCCTTGGAGACTTCAAATTCAGTTATACCCAAAACATGAGTTTTCTCTCTCCAAATCACAGTCTCTCCCTTGGTTAAGGAAGTTGCTATGTGCTCATATAAAGTAGAACAAAATAGTAGAATCAGTCTCACAATCATATAATCATTATAAGTCCTTCCTGTCCCTCTTTTAGTTGTTTTGCTTCTAGTCCTCCATCCCCGCTTCTCCAGTTTAGTTCAGTCTTTTATCCTCTTATGCTTATTGATTACCACAACATCCTCCTAATAGTTGCCTTTTCTACCCATCTCCTCTGGTTCTCAATTATCTTTTTCATTGCCAGACTTTACTAAAATAAAAACTAGTCCGGTAACTCTCTTCTTTGTAAATTCCTTTATAGGATTTTAATTACCCAAATTCTTAGCCTGGTTTTCCATATGTTTAATATTCCCTAACCCATCTTCACAAGTTTGTCTCCTAAATTTGCTACCTTTGCAATCCAGAGCATTCTGTTCTCATTCTGTAAATTCTTGTTTTTCCTCTCTCTTGATTAGTTTATTCTACCTCAGCTTTATTCCTTCTAAATTCTGTTCTTCAAAATTAAGTTCATATTTTTCTCTTCTGTGGGGCCCCGAAGTTTTAAACAGTTCTTTGTCTGTTTATGTAGTACCTACTCATAACACTTGGTATATTTGCTTTTTCTACCTACTTCTGAACTCCCAGAGACAGGAAATATTTTATTTTTTTCTCTTTCCCACAGAGGAGGACACTGCTTTATAAATAAATACACTATAGCATTTATATACAATAGTTCCTATAATAGCACAAAGAAGGCCATTATTAAGATTGTCTCAGAATGTTTGAGAAGGCAGCACAAGGTAAGGAATATTTGAGGTAGTCTGAATATGAGTGTTCACATTCCTGCTGGAGACTAGAGCTGGTGCAAAGGCAGTGGGAGAGAGCGAGCAAAGTTTACTTGGGAAATGGCTGGTATAGCAGCACACTGGAGCTCAGTCCTACCTGTGTGCATGTAGAGAAAATGAGGCTGGAAAGGCATTGTTGGTGACAGACTGGGAAGAGCCATTGTTAGGTGTTCTAAGTAATTGGATCACTTAATTTTTTTTTTTTTTTTTACTATAATTGCTCTGAGGAAGATTGACGTGCATGTAAAAATGTCACTGATTAAACATTCTGTGTTTAATATCAGGTTGTTAAAATTCCCTAAGGAAATTTTGTTTTCATTTTCAATTTTGAAAATTTCTTATTTCTTTACCTACTGGATGATTTATTGAAAACATTCTACCACATGTACTACATATATTTTCCTTACATGGTTTATCTTCTGTCATTGAGGTTTGGTTTTTCAATACCAGAGCTCAGTCTATTTTAGAAGTAATTTGGTTTTCATAAGCCCCAGTCATGCTACTGTAGTCATAATGGATTTTGGGGGGATAGCTTCTCCAAAAATATGTCTATTAGGTTAAGAATAATAACTATTAAGATTTTGAAAATTTACCCAAAAAAAGAATGTTTCTTATATGTAGATGATATTTCACCTTTCCTACCGCCTTTACATTTTCATGCCTTCTAATAAATATGTTATTTCTAATGCATGTAATCTTAAATGGTATTTTATACAAGACTCTTACTTTTGTAATTTAGAACTATCCCCTACACTGAAGTTTGTGAGGGGTCTTCAATTGAGTAATTTTTTTTTGCTTCTCTTTTTGATTAAGCTCTGATGAGACAACAGCTGGGGCTCTCCTCCTCTCTGCTTATCAGTGCTTCTCAGGAAATGTGAAATGTTCATACTTTAGAGAGTTTTAGAAAATGTTATATTTGCATTTAATATGCCTGTCTTTGTATGCGTATGTTAAAATGCTTCTACATGACTAACTTCTTTTAAAATGTAACTATTGTAACTGGCCTATTACCTTTGTTCAATTGTTAATAACAAAGAATTAATGACTGTAATTCTTCAGCATTCATTTGTCCTTCTCTTATATACCTTGTCCTCTACATTCTTACATTGATGATTAAGCTAAGTGATGAACATGTTGTCAAAGTAGAGAATAGCTTTGCTTCATGTCTAAGTCATAAAATTAAAGGAACAGTACAACTTTATACTTGGCTACTATTCCTTGTGAATTGCTTTTGTACTTGGAGGAATGTTAATTTAGGTTACAATGGTGAGTGCTTTTACTAGAATAAAAACTTTAGGAAAGGCAGAATTCTTATTCTTTATTACTTTATGGAACTTTGGAACATTGAATAAAAGTCAAGATTTCTTGCCTTGAGTTAAGGTTGGACATAGACATTGCTTGTGTTATGAAGAACTTCCTCCACTGCCTTAAGCCCAAATCCCTCTCTGCCACCCTGTTTTACCAACTCTCCCCTGCCCAGCCCCCGTTGGTATATGCTTTAGGTTATGCTTAAAGAATATTTTCTTGCCAATTTTATTTTCTGATAAAAAAGATGTGAGTTTTGCTCATGGATGATACCTTGAAACAGACCAACTCATACTGCTGTAAAATTAAAGCATATGGTGATAGATCCAAACATCTAGTGATGATATGCAATTAGTAGAAACAGGTAGTTTTTTATTAACAAACACATTATCAAATACTATGATCAGGATGCATTGGGGAAGATATTAACATCATGATCTAAGGTTTATTCTTAAGGTTTTATGACTACACAACTAAAATACCTATTTTCTGTTTATGACATTCCTATCACTAGGGAGACTAATTTTTTCAAATGTCAGCTACAGAAATAGAAGTAAGACTATTAAGAAGAGCAAATATTTAACACTTCACTTCTCACAAATCTGTTGAGTATATAGATAGGCACTTATTACCCTCTTTTACGTTAGAGAAAACAGGCTCAAAAAGGTTATGTGTGTTGCCCTCCCAATCGTAACATTTAGATATACTTTTTTCTTTGGAATACAATTGCTTGAGGTTTATTTTTTCCCCCATGTTTAAGTCTTTTTAACAATCTGGAATTCATTACATTATTAATCATTAAGTTATTTTTCTCCTCAGTACTGTTTAGTTATACAAACCATGTTTACCAAAGAGTGACAGTACTAAAGATAGTTTCAGATTACCTGAATATGTTTCGTAGTTGTGGTATCTTGCCTCTGCCATATAGCATGATATAGTTTGAATAGATGTCTTTCTATTTCAACACTGTGTAATATACCTTCATGTTGCCTGCAGTTGCTTAGATAATATTTACATATCCACTTCATTGGTTGCCCTAGAAAGTGCTTGAGAACCGTATGGAAACCAGTACATTTTTATGATTACATGAAAATATCTGTAGTCACAAACGTAGGTTTTTGATGAGTATTTTTAAAATGAAGATACATACAATAGTAAGGAGAAGTGAAATGTAAAATTTCATGCCATTATGAAGTGAAAAGTCCATGAATTGAAACTACTTGAACCCAATCTGTGATGATTTCCTGATCCTATGCCCGACAGATTTAGAAGGTGAAAAATCTGTATGTGAAATAAAAAATAACTTTTCTTCTCCTAATACTTCTGTAATTTTATAAAAGGAGTTAAGTGAACACAAGATATACTAGAGAGAGTAAATATTAAACTATGTTTTATTCTTATTCTTAAAAAATGAAAGTGTTTTAATGTGATTCAAAAAACTGCTTTTCTTTTCTTTAGGATGGATTGGATGCTTTGGTGTATGATTTGGATTTTCCTGCCTTACGGAAAAACAAAAATATTGACAACTTTTTAAGCAGATGTAAGTAAGTTTTTGTGGTGATTGGTGACCAACTGTGTGTAACTACATCCTAACTTAGATAACTCAGGGCTTCTCTTTTTTCCCGTCTACTTTTTATGTATTTCATTAGTAATTCATACATAATATTAATAGAAATTGTGAGAGAAATTTTAATAGCCAGTTTGGTGCCTAGCTGGAGAATCTACAAAGTATTTTACAGAGAAGGGGATGAAAAATAGTTAAAACAAGTATGTTTTAAAAATGCATAAAGCCAAACATGGTGGCACATGCTTGATATTGCAGCTACTCAGTCAGGATGCTGAAACAGGAGGGTCTTGAGTTGAAGGCCAGCCTGGGCAACTTAGCAAAATCTTGTCCAAATGAGTAATGAACTGGAAATGTAGTTAAGTGGTAAAGTGCTTGCCTAGCATGCATGAGGTCCTGGGTTGAATCCCCAATACCACCAAAAAAGCGAGAAAACAACCAAAAAACATATAAAATGTAAATATATATTACTCAAATAATATATTCATTCCCTCTTGGTCTTTTATGGGTGAGTTAACTACTGTATTTAAAAATCCACAGGTAAAAATAGACTGGATGTGAAAAGTCCTCCTACGTTATAAGAACTTTTCTCCATGAAAACTTTTATATTTAAGACAGATGTTTTGTTCTAAAAACTACTTTTTGAATTTTCATACTATCCTTTATAGTGTTTAAATAACCTCCTAAAATAGTTTCACTTAATCTTAAAGAATTAAAATAAGATCTAGATCATAAAATCCTCCCCACCTACTTTATTTGCCAGCTATTCCTCAGACAGAGGATTAATATTTTTTTTGTTTTGTTTTGTTTTTGGTACCGGGGATCGAACTCGGGTCCTTGCGCTTGCACAGCAGGTGGTGAAACCACTGAGCTAAATCCCTGGTCCCCCACCTATTTTATTAATCTGTTTATAAACCATACATATAGACACAATTAGGTTGTGTTGGTTTTGATGTTATCTCTCAAGGTTTTTTTTTTTTCGGTACCAGGGATCAAACTCAGGACCTTGCACTTGTGAGGCAGGTGGAGACACCACTGAGCTAAATCCCAGGCCCTCAAGTTTGCTTTTGTTTTTTTTTCTTTCTGTTTTTGCTTAAAATCTTTTATTGGTACATTTTAGGTATACAGTACATTTACATTTATCATTGGGTGGTTGTACCTATACATGATGCATCTTGGTTCTTATATTTTCCCCATTACCTGTGCGCCCTTCACCCCCTCCACCCTTCCCTATTTACATAGACTTTGTTTCCATTTTTTTCTTTTCTCACAGTTTTTCCTTTCCCTTCTTTCCTTTCCCCTTCCTCAAGTTTGCTTTTTGAGACAGTTCAGGCTGGCCTTGAACTCGAAACAATCCTCCTGCCTTAGCCACCCAAGTGTTGGAATGATAGGCATGCACCACCATGCCTGGCTATCTCAATTTTGATTCACATATTTTATTACACAAGTTTTATTTTATGGAATAGTTATATCCTTTTACTTTCTTGTAATCTTTTTTTTTTTTTTATCATTTCTACCCTTTGAAATCTTGCCTCAGAATTTTATTTACCAATTTTAAGTTTTATTCTTTTTAACAAAAAAAAATTTAGTCTTAAATGTGTTTCGTTAATTTCTCACATTGTACTGAAATAACAGGATTTTATTAATATTTATACTTGTTAAGCTTTCTAATTGATAATATAACAATTAAGATAGAAGAACTATACACTGTTGTTTAATGGTAGACAAAAGGTTAATGCTGTTTAGTAGAAAGGAGAGAGCATGGTATATTTTATAAAGTATGGTAGTATAATTGGAACACATACTTTATCTGTGGCCTTTTTTTTTGCTTTCAAAATACTAATATGCCTACATATTACATTTTATAAATAGCTATAGTAGAAATTAAAGTATAATAAAAGTAAAGATCTAAAGTACACTTTCAAATGGTAAATCTGTGTAATTTTTATATTAAAAATGCAGAGAATAATAAAACAAAATTTTAGCAAGTCATATGTAACTATAGGTAAAATTGTTGATCAAGGAGGAGTTATGCCAAAAGTACAAAATTAAATAACCAAAAATACATTAGTGTCATACTAACATTTTAAAAAAAGTACCTATTTTAGTAGATGCAGAAAAAGCATTAAAACTCATACATTCATAATTTAAAGTATGTTTTTGTAAACTAGAGAGTGAAAGAAATTTCCCCATCACAGTTAAGGAAATCTCCAGGAAACTGTAGTCAGATTGTATAAGACTGAATGCTTCTCATCTTAAGATTGGAAAAGGCAAATCTACTTTCATCCCTTTTTTGTTCAACTTTGTTCTGGAAGCTGTAGCAGGTGTAGTAAAGAAAAGCCATGTACATTTAAAATGAAGAAGGAAAACTTTCTTAATTCAGATAGCATGCTTTTCTACAGAGAACATCCTCAAGATTGTACAAAAAAAGCTGTAAGAACTAATAAGTTCAACAAGGATGCAAGCTCAACTAATGTCCGAAAAGCAATTGTATTTCTATTACAGCAAACAATCAGAAATTGACATATCAAATACAGCTCCAGTAGAAGCAGAAACTTCAAAAATTCAGGGGTACATTTGACAAAGTAATGTATAAGACCTACTGAGAACTATACAGTATTGCACAAGACAAAAATTAAAGAAGGTGGGCATTGTAGGGCAGGGGGAGGAAGAGAGGGGAGAGAGAAACTGATTGAGATTGAGATTCAGTGTTCATAGATTGGACAGTTCATTATCAAAATGTCAAGAGTAACCACATTAATCCAAAAGAGCCTCTGAGTTCTCGAAACTTAGGCATTTTTTTATAAAGTGACCAACAATTCATATGGAATTGTGAAGAACCTGAAATAACCAGAACAATTTTGAAAAGTAAGAACAGTGCTGAGGAGAGTAAGGAGAAGAAAGTAATGGGGAAAGATTAGTGAATAGATATTAATAGGTTGGAAAAATAAGTTCTGGTGTCCTCGGGCACAGTAGGATGACCATGTAAGAGGATAATGAATTATATATTTCAAAAAAGCTTAACGGATTTTTGAGTGTTTTGACCACAAATGATATAAATATTTGAGGAAATAGATACACTTACCTTGATTTGAACATTGCATAATGATAACCTATGAATATGTATAATTTTTAGAGTATCTATTAGAAAAATCAGAAAAATTTAAAAAATTTTCTACTTAAGGAATTTACCTTAAGGGAAAGAGGATGAAAAGAGGAATTAAAGTGTGTTATGTACATGTACATTCTACATAAGGAATGTAAACATTACGGCAAACACGTACTAGTAAAAATTTTTTTTTAAAAGAATTCAGCCTTAAGTCTTGCTAATGTATAGCAGCTTTCAAGTATAGCATCTTCAAATATCATTTTAAATCTTCAGGCCTAACTATATCCCAGGCTGTCAGTTTTTGTTTATGTTAAGGAGTCTGTGGAAACATAAAGGGAAAAGAGAATCTATAAGTAGTTTACTGGATCAGTAATTAAATTACAAAGATTGTTTTTCTGAACTCTGATGTGTAATACCTAAATAATGAGGATATCAAAGAAAATATTCATCAGCCTTACATACCTGATAAAAAAAATTTTAAGGTGAACTTTCAGTAGGGATTTAGACAGCCAGAAAGAGGAAAGCTTTTGTGGTGATAGCTGGTCACAGTTTAGAAGAGACGTATTTGGAGTAGGAGGAGAACATTGCCCAAAGGAGGGATGGGGAATTTAGGAACAGTAATTATGACTATATGTTTGTAAACTATTATGGATGTCACAGGCACTTTGGGTATAAAAATTTATATGTTAATAGCAAAGCATGCTTATCTGACAGATCTTAATAATGTAAAAGAAGGTAATGGAGGGGGAAAGAATATTGAATAAGAAAACCATGAACTCAAGAGTATATTGCAATAGAGAGCACTTGTTTGGATTAAAAAAAATCAGGATATTTGATGATAGTTGATAAACTTTTGCTTATTTTACTGATCATATAATTATGGAGAAAGTGATGAAGGTAATTGCTATTCTGAGTTGTGATTTTAAAAAACTGAATTGGCTGGCATTTTGAATGTGACAGAGACCTTAAGACAAAGCATTCATTCACTATAGACTAGGATTTCTCAAGAGCAGCACTATTGACATTTTGGGTTAGATAGTTCTGTTGTGGGAGGCTGTACTTTGCATTGCAGGATGTTTGGCACTGAGTCTGGCCTCTACCATCGTGATGGCAGTAGCATATTCCACCCCCATCCCCCAGTTCTGACACCAGAAAATGTCTCTAGACATTGCCCTATGCCCCCTGTTTGGCAAAATTGCCCACAGTTGCCTAAAACTTGATGCTAATTAAGGAAAGAAGTATTGGGCATGGCTAGATTTGTGTTCAGAACTTAGGAAATTTAGCCAAATTTATAGAAAAGATAAGTTCTATTCATAGTGATTCCAAGCAAAGGATGAAATTTTATCAAGAAGTAGAGGAGGAGCCGGGGATTTAGCTCAGTGGTTCTGCCGCCTGCTCCACAAGCGCAAGGACCAGAGTTCGATCCCTGGTACCCCCCCAAAAAAAGAAGTAGAGGAAATTGCAGCCATGGAAAACAGGGTTTTTTTCACAGAGAGTTCCCAGATCAAATTGAGAAGTATATGAACGTCAGACTAGAAGTATGAATACATAAATGCAAAAGAGTAGTGTAAATCTTACTTTTTTTTTTTTTTCTTTCAGTACTGGGGATCAAACACGGGACCTTGTGTTTGCGAGACAGGCGCTGGAACTACTGAGCTAAATCCCTGGCCCTCTTACATTTTTTTTTATAGTGGTAGAAGTTTGTAGAAAGTGTAAAGATGCTTCAGGCAGTAAAGTCTTCATAAAGAAATATTTGAGTTGAGCCTGAGCTTGATTTCCTGAGGAAATCCTCAATTTTCTTCAAATTTTGGAACATTTACATAAATATAACGAGCTCTTGGGCCTGGGTCTTGGATTTAAACTCAAA